ATTTCTTCCATTTGCTTTAGCATCTCTACTATGGAGAGTAAGTTTCAGTGTCTCTTCTGGCATCCATTTTGATCTTTTCCTTCTTTCTTGTCTTCTTAATGACATTTTGCTTTCTTCATGTATGATGTTCTTGATGTTGTCCCACAACTCTTCTGGTCTTCAGTCTTTAGTGTTTAATGCATCAAATCTGTTCTTAAGTTGTGAGGATTTTAATTTTCTTCACATTCAGGCAAAATCAGTACTGAAGTCTGTTGTCTTTGACTTTTATTACTTCAAGAAATTTTCATTTTCCAAAGGCATTGTTGAGTGTCATCTGTATTTCTCAAGTTATTAGTGTCTTCCTCCAATCCTGATGCCACATTCTTTTATAATCCAGCTTCTTGAACCATACAATATCCGCTTTGTTCTGTCAAATGACTGCCTCTTGATCTATGTATGGGTTTCATATGTTCTGTGATTCCTGTTCTTTGTAATGTTGTATATAATCTGTTATAATCTATACATTTGAATACTTTAATATAGTCAATAAAATACAGGTATCTTTTTGGTATTCTCTGCTTTGGGCCAAGATGCATCTGATATCAACAATGACATCACTTGTCCCACATCTTCCTAATTGGCTTAAACTTCTGGTAGTTCCCTCTCAGTGTACAGTTGCAGCTGTTTTTTAATATCTTTAGCAAAATTTTGATACTTTGTGATATTAGTGATGTTGTACAATAATTTCTGCTTTCTGTTGGCTTGTCTTTCTTTGAAATGTGCATAAATATGGATCTCTTACAGTCAAGTGGCCAGTTAGCTGGCTTCCGACTTCTTGATATAGACGAGTAAGCACTTCCAGAATTGCATCTATTTGTGTGTTTTTTTAAAGTATCTCAATTGGTATTCCATCCATCCTTAAAGCCCTGGGGGGTTTTTTTGTTTTGTTTTGCTTCATTGCAGCTTAGATTTCTTCCTTCAGTATCAACAACTCTTGATAGTGTTAGCATACCTCTTGAAATGGTTTGAATGCTATCAACCAGTTCTTTTTGGCTCAGTGACTGTGTTTTCCTTCTACCTTAATTTGATGCTTCCTGCATCTTTTTTTTTTTTTTTTTTTGCCTACATTCTGTATTGCAACTTGAAGTTTGAATTTTCTTTTCCATTTTTCCATCTT